CTCCTCCTCCACCACCACATCCTTCTCCTCCATCACGCCTTCCTTCTCCCACCCCTCAGTTTTTTCCCTTCTAATACCCTGGCATCACCCTGGTTCTGGGTACAGCCTGTGTTCCCAGGGACCCATCAGTAGGTCTAGTTCTTGTCCAGATGCCACCAGGAAGGTGACAGCGTAGTCCTTCCAATAGCTGCAATCCTGTGATGACAGAGGGCTGCTGAGCACCCCATCCTTGTCCTCCACTTTAAATGTACCCCAGAATGCTTGCTCTCTTCACGGAGGTCCTACTAAGGAACCCTCTGGCTGGTCTCCTGCAGGCTACGTCCTGACAGTTTTCCGGCGCTGGAGGAGCCGCAGCCAGAGCTCAGCCCAGCAGAGAGTCCAGCTGGAGAGGGCAGCCAAGCACCACACACGCCGGCTTCTGCGTGAGGCCTTGTCGCGGTGGAAGTCCTACCATCGCGGGTGGATCAGGAAGACGGTGAGGCCGGCTCAAGACCCCTCGCATGGCAAGGCGTCCGGCTCTCTGGAGGAGCTTAGAGCACTGCTGGGAGGTTTGGGGTCCTGTGGGGACAGACTGAGCCTTTCTGGGTTTTTATAGGTGGGTAGCATAAAAACAGGTCTCCCCCAAGTGAAATACAGTGACTCAGTGGAGAAGCTCAAGAGCTGGAGCCCCCCAGCTCATCTAGACAACCCCGGCTTCCAGCAGCGTAAGGCCCTGACAACATCAGATGCCTGTGTGGTGCCTCTAACTGCAGTGCCCTGGGGGGTCAGCTCTGATGCCCCGAGTGGCTGAGGGCTGTGGGCTCCCTGATTCCCATTAGAACTTACTGCTCCCATGTCTGCTCTCCCAGCTCCTGCAAAGGCGAGGCGCCCAGCTTCTGGCCCAGCGACTTTGCCGGACCTGCTTCCACCAGTGGAGACGGCAGGTGGGTGACACCCTGTCCCCTTTCCCACCTGCCCCGCTTGCTCGTTAGCGTCCACCCGAGGCTCACTAGGTTGAGCATCAGTGTCTCAGGACCACTGCCCGTGTCCCGCCTCCCCCTGCCTCGGTCAGTTCGCAGCTCCACTGCCATATCACTTTTCCTGCACCAGCAACCTGTCAGTGGTCTGTTTACAGTGTCCAGAGAAAAACACAAGTCGTCTCCAGAAGTTCCCATGAAATGTGTTTTAAGTTGGTCCCGGTGCTGGTCAGAGGCCAGGTGGGCCCGCACCGCTGCACGTAGGTCCAGAGTCATCAGCCTCTCATCTCACCTCACCTGTCAGTCAGTGGTCCTTCCGAGGGCAGGAGAGACACTTGACTAGACAAGATCTGAGCGTGCTGACCCTCAAGGTAACAGACATCACCCTGAGAGGTGACAGGCAAGCAATCTGGTGTTTCTTAGAGGAAGTCACTTGTGGTTCCTGCCGTTAAGCCAGGACGGGTCTGAGTGAGATGCAGACATGGAGGAGGGGCAGAGAGCTGTCTGGTTCTGCCCCTTCACCTTCTATCCACTGTGCTGGCCAAGGCCCAGAAGGCAGGCAGAAGTGAGAAGGGAGAGGCTGGGCTGGTTCCAGGTTCTCCCTGTCCTAGCTGGCTGTCAGGTCAGGGCCCTGCTCTGGCACAGGGCCCAGTGCAGCCTCCTTACCCCGTCTCCTGGCATGTCTCTTGCTCACAGACGTTTCGGTTGCCAGGCATGCTGCCCCATCACCCCACATCTCACAGAAAGTTAACACAGACCCTGGTTCTTGCTTCTCTTCCATCTCCTCTAGCTTTTCTGTCAATCACCTTCCAAACCCAGCAAGTGGTTCTTCAGAGTCAAGCCCCACCCCGCAACCCGAGCCCCATGCTGTGCACGGCTCGGCCATGCCGCCTCCATCTGTCACGTCCCCACTTGTTTCCCAAATGCCGTGGCTGCGCAGTTATCACGGCGACTGTTCCTTGCTGGTCGCTAAGTGGGCTGAGTGGCGGGTGGGTCTTCTGTTGCTTATGGTGCCTGGACGGTCTCAGATGGTCCTGCATGGGGCTGCCAGCCAGGGCCGCGGTGCTCACAGCATGGCGGCTGGGTTCCCCAGGAACCTTCTGGAGGTCGGTCTCTCCAGGTCCGGCCCAGCAATGACTGCATGTCATGTCCTCTGGGTCACAGGGCCAGCCCAGGTCAAAAGGGAGGACAATGGGCCTCCCCTCTGGTCTCCCTGACTCTCCCAGTTGACGCCGAGTTGATTCCAGCTTGTATGTGTGTCGATTAGACTCTATTCTGGGGTGTCTCGCGACTGTTGTGTTTTAGAAGTAGTTGGGCCAAGTCCCTATTCAGATGCTTCTGGGTGGACTAAATCCCAGCAGCCAGGCATTGTAACTGTTTGTACCACAGGGTCTGTCACCTGACAGGTCCTTTCAAAACTTGGCTTAGGATCATGTTCCAGGAAGCGGGCCCCAAGGCCCAGGCAGGGGTGGATGTCCCTGCTCCAAGTGCCTGTCACAGGCCTTCTGTGTCCTGGGCAGAGGGCAGAGGCTGGGCTGAGCTTGGCCTGCACAGGGAACTTGAAGGGTCTGCTAGACAGTGCAGGCCTGAGGGCAGTCTCAACCCCCCAGCCCTGCTGACCTCCCCATCTGCCAGCTCTTCTCCCTGGCTTGGCCCCACCTGCCAGCCCACGGTGCCCTGCCTTTGCCCCTCCGTCCACTGAGGACTCCTCTCTGCCCGCAGCTGGCGGCCCGGAGGGAGGAGCAGCAGGGCACAGCTCGAGCCCTGTGGTTCTGGTCCTTCTCGCTGCAGGCGAAGGTAATGAGTGGAGCGTCTCGAGGACGTGCCTGTGGGGAGGAAGGCGGGGGTGCAGGTGAGGGGCAGGCCTCAGCTCCACTCTCCCTCAGGCCTGGGACGCCTGGCAGGGCTTTGTGCAGGAGAGGAGGAGAAAGAGGGCGCGCCTGGAGCAGGCGATGCAGACCCACCAGCAGCAGCTCCTGCAGAGGGGCGTCACCCACCTTCTGCGCTTCACAGCGGCCACCAAGGCCTCCCGGCAGCAGCTGCTTGTCCAGCAGCAGGCCCAGGTAGGCCATGGTCGTACCTGTGGGGGGGCAGACAGCCAGGGTCTCCCACTCTTGTTTGCGGGGTGGATGCCGGCATCCTCCCAGACTGTGACCCTTCCTGCTTGTGTGGAGCATCCAGCCAGCGTCCCCACTCACAGAGTTCTTCCCCTTGTGGGTGGGTGGACAGCCAGTGTCCTCCTGATTTAGTCTCTCACCCTTGTGTGGGGGTGGATGACCGGGGTCCCCCATGCTTGTGTAGAACAGCCTGCCAGCATCCCTCCTGACCAGAGCCCCCCCCCCGTCTTGGGGGCTTGTTGGCAGATGGCCCACAGCCTCTACCGCATCGTCCACCGCTGCGCCATGCTCTGGAAGCAGAAGGCACTGGGCCCGGCCAGGGAGCCTCAGTCCATCGTGCCTGGCAGGAGAGTGACATTCGAGGTCCCCCTTCTCAGCTGCATCCCTGACAGGGCCGGGGACACCTCCCTGGAGACCAGGACCCAGGGAACGAGACCCAGGCGAGGCCTGGACAGCCTGGCCCTGGCTGCTGGGGACCGCCAGCTCCCGGAGCTGTGAGTAGCACCGCTCACCTGCCTCCACACAGCGCAGAGCCAGGAGCAACACTGGGGTCTCCTCAGAGCTCACCACCCAACCTCTGCCCCCCCCATCCCGCCCTTGGTCTGAGGGAGGTGGAGGACAGACTAGGATTAAAGCCTCCAATTCCTGCCAGTGTGTCCCTTCCTGCCCTGCTCCCCAAAGTGATACCAGAAACCCCACTGCCAAGCCCCTGCCCTCAGAGCAGCTGGTGACTCGAACCACTGATCTTTCAGTGAGCTGTGCAACGTGGTACAAAGTGATAGTTGAGTGAGTGGGGAGCACCTGCCCTTCCTGTCCAGCCCTGCAAGTCTTCCTTCTCCCTGTACAGCTCCCCGTCCCCACAGCAGGACCTGAAATCTGCCCTGTCCACTTCCCTGATGACCTCCCAATTCTATAAACCGCTGCATACACCCTGAGTGGCCAGTGCCGTGGGGAGCGGCGGGGCCTCCTCTCTGCCCTGATTCCCACTGTCCCACAATGTCTCAGCAGCCAACGTAGGGGAGAGGTGGGGTGGCTATGGAATGACATTGTGGCCTAGGTCCCCCAGCCTCCTGTGTGACTGACCTGGCCTTCAGACCCTTGTGAACATAGTAGGGGGGTGGACTAGATGACTGACCCCACAGAGATCTCGGACCCTTCCAGCCTTGACAACCCACCCTGTATCTTCTCAGGGGTGTTGCCCACCCAGAGAGGAAGCAGCCACGGCGCCCTGACTTCCTGCTGGAGTTCAAGCAGAGCCAGAAACCCCTGGAGTGTGGTCCCGTCAGGGGACATGGGTAGGATGGATGGGCTGGGGGCACCTCAGGGCTGCCAGAATCCAGAATGTGCACCTCGGACCTGTGAGGGACACTTCTTATGTGGGAAGGACTCTCAGTTCGAGGTGGGACCATGGCCTGACTAGGCTCCTACCTTCCATCTGCTCAGGCCCAAGGAGCACGGCCTCACCATGGTTCCACCAGCCAACAGGTCCCAGACAGCCCTGGCCCCACAAGGACCCCCATCCAAGCCTGAGGCCCCAGCCAGCAGTTCCTGGACAGCCCTGGCCCCACAAGGACCCCCATCTGAACCTAGGGCCCTGCTGAGACCTCCTGAGCCAAGGCTGCCCCCCACAGAGAGTGCACCCCCAGAACTGGTGCTGCTGCCCCCATCCTCCTTCATGCTGCACGAGGCAGATCAGTCAGCCAGGGTAAGTGACCAGTCACAGGCACACGTCCACTCTGGCCTGCTGGACTCTGTTGTACTCAATGCCATAGGAAAGCCGGGCAGAGTCCCTGGGACTCCTCAGCTTTGAAGACTCAAGAGGGTCATGTAGGTGCTGATGCTGTGCTTCATAGGCCCCGGGTCCTGTGAGGGGCCTGCAGGGTCCTTGTTCCTGGGCAGCTGATATTCTGGATAGGGAACTCTTTCCTGAATAACTAACACAAAGATATACAAGGTGCCAACGGCCATGCAGGGCCTCAGGCCAGGGAGCAGAGAGAGAACTGGAAGGCAGTCTGTAGTGTGCTGTGCTAACCAAAAGGCCACTTATCTTTGGGGGCTCAAAGCCACCAAACAGCTCCAGGAACAGGGTATCTCCAGAGGGTCAGTGCAGTCAGAACCAGCTTGTGTTGTAAGAGCAGCAAGCTCTGGGTCTAGTTTTCACCCTTCAACTTGGCCGTGTGCGTAGCTACATCTGTGAGGTGGACGTGGGGAGAAACAGACAGGTCCTGGGGGAGGACGAGACAGAGGCAAAGGGAGGAAGAAGAAGACCTGTCCTCCCAGCTTCCAGCTCAGTATCTGGGTGAATGGGAGCATTTTCCTCAAGTGGAGGTGGATGTGCAGATGGGTTTTGCAGAGAGTACCTGGGGTCTGTTTTGAGCCTATCAAATCTGAGCAAAAGGAACAAGAGGCTTGCGTGAGTCTGACTGATGGGAAGGGGGGGAATTCTCAGCAGAGGCCAAGTCGCAACCCACAGGCCCAGCATAAGGACAAGGATGAGGGTGGGCGGAAGCCACCAGAGAGGAGTGGGCTCCGGGGGAGGGGACTCAAGCAGGGTGGGGAGGGGGCTTCAACATTGAGTGGACAGGGGACCTGGGAGAGGACAGATCAGGGCACAGCCTGGAATGCAGTATGGAGTTTGCTTCAGTCGCTGGCTGGAGGGGAGAGGAGAGCCCAGCTGACCTGTGACCAGCAGAGTTGTGTGATGTGTGACAAGAGACCAGGTGGGGCAGCTGTTTGGAGCAGTGATAACACAGCCCTCAGGGGAGTCAGGTGGAGGGGAGGGGTCCAGCTAGCTAGTGAGAAGCAGCTTGTTTCCTGCACCCCCATCCTGACAGGGACAATGGCCTGAGCCAGGCTCCTTCATCACTCCCATCCCCCTTCCTTCTGCAGGTGTCAGCAAAGCTGCAGGCGCCCCCAGCCCTGGCCAGTGCCTCCAGCCTCCACTTGCTCCTCCCTGGGGACCTCACAGGTCCTGGGTTTGGGCCCGGGCCCGAGGTGGCAGGTGTGCATCCTGGCGCACTGGGTGAGGGGCGGAGGGGCGGGGGGAAGGTTGAAAGGGGGGCAGTGGAGGAGTGGGGCCCTATTCCTCATCCCTGAAGAAAGGTCAGGCTCACCTCCTCCGGTCCTGCAGGCAGCACTGACCTGGAGCTTGAACTCGAGGGGATCCGCCAACAATTACAGCACTACCAGATCACCAAGCAGAACCTCGGGTGAGACCCAAGGTGCCCTTCCTGCCAGAGTCTGGGGATGGGGGGCCACGGTGTCCAGAAACTCCATCACTCCTGCTCACAGAAGCCATGGCCCTCAAGGGGGAGGCATGTGCCCACCAGATGTGGAGGGGCCTTGAGACCTGGCTGGACCCATCCTGAATCAAGAGATTCAGGTGTGCTCACTGGTCCCCTCACTTCTAGCTGTGCAGAAAGGCAATGAGGCTTTCACACTGGGGAAGGTCAGAGGAGGATGGAGAAGGCTAAGCGATGGCCTCTTAAGCCAGCATTTCTCCCTCTTCTGGACGGGCTCTTGGGGGACTCAAGTGCAGCCTGGGGGTCAACAGGCCTCTCAACCCTCAGGTCTTGTCAGCGGCAGGCACGCAGCCTGCGCAGGTGGCTGGAGCTGAGCCGGGAGGAGCCCGAGCCCGAGGACCGGGAAGCGGAGCAGCAGGTGCAGAGCGAGCTGGAGGAGGTGAGGCCCGGGCCGCCCCAAGCTCAGGAGGGATGAGCTGTGCTCCTGCTCGGCCAGCACCCTCACCCACACCCGCCCCACAGGTGGAGGCCCAGATCCAGCACCTGGCCGCGGAGCTCCGGGCCCAGCGCCAGCCCGTGGGGGCCTGCATCGCCCGGGTACAGGCCCTGTGGCGTGCCCTGTGCTAGTGCCAGTGCACAGGGGCACCTGCCGGAGCAGAACACAAAGCTGTGATGCTGAGGTTTTTCACCTTTTTTATTTCAAAATGTTTGCAATTAAATGAATTACTGTTCAGAAGTCTCCCACTTTTCATACAAAAATACTGTGCTACTGATACAGTTGAAAAAGTTCAATGGCTTCTCCTGCAGGAGAAAATTCACAGCGTCCCCAGGATCAACCTGCGCCCTGGCCCCACCTCAGTGACTCCCCCGACGGTGTACCTGGCGGCTGGGGACAATTTTGTGTTCTAGGCACTGACTCTCCTCCCACAACCGAGGCTCCGGCGCCTCCAACATGAGGTTCCACGCAGGGCTGGGGGTGGATGTGGGCCAAGCTTTCCCCTGATGCGGGAGGGGTCCACCGGGCCTCCTCACCCCGCTCTAAGGCCATCAGGTCCGTGCAGGGCGGGATGGCAGGGTCAGCTCATCTCCAGCAGGCTGCCTACTCGGCCTGCAGGAACCCACAGGAACGTCAACTTTATTCACTTGGACCAGAAAGCTGCACGTGGGGACAGGTGGGTACAGTCAGTGCCAAGGGCACCTCATTCTGTGCAACAGGCAGGTGTGGGGGATGGGCGGGGGCAAAAAGACCAAGTGAACGCTCACCAGGAGAGATTTATAGAAAGATCCAGTGTCCTGTTCACTCCTGCCTGCGCCTGGTTGTTTTTGTGGGAGGAGCCTGTCCCCCTCCATCTCCGGGCAGCGGGAGCAGTGATTCAAGTACTGTCTGATGAGACCACCTGGGCCCCAGGCGGCCCTCACCTGGACGCCTGTAGGGGCTCCGTGGGAAACCCTCTCACACATCTTGCTTTTCGGAAATAGTTCCTCAGCAGTCAGGACGGGTCCCTACAGGGAGCCCAGCGCCTCCCCGAAGCGGATCTTCTGTCCCGCTTTCAGCTGGAATTTGAAGTCCTTGGGCGCCTCGAAGATGAGCACGATGGTGGAGCCCAGGTTGAACTCACCCAGGTGCTCGCCCTTGCGCATGGGGATGCCCTCCTTGTTGGCGCGTGTCACGAAGCTCAGGTCATTGTAGGAGCCCTTGCTGTACTGTGGGCTGTTGGTGTGCAGCTCCTGGAGAGGCGGGGTGGAAGTGGGGCTCAGAGGCTGCGGCCCTCCCTGGGGGACATGGAGCCCAGTCCCTCTCTGCGCTGGTCAGCGGGGCCTTCAGTTCCCACTCCCCAACCGGGCTCAGTAAAAGAGGTGGGGTCACCAAGCCAGTGAGCCTGGGTCTCAGCAGTCACAAAGAGTCCCCAGCTCTGTTCTCCCAGCACCCAGAAAGGACACCAAAAAAGGCAGGGTGGGCACCAGATCCCTGTTCGTCTGGGCAGCTGTGTCTGGCACCAGCCTTCCGTGTCCTGGCCCCACTAGTCACCATGACCTTTCCCACACTCAAGAGCTCTACCTGTCCTCTGCACTCAGCGTGACCCAGATTCTTCGCAGGAGCAGGATGGGGTGGGGGGCACCTCCGTGCACCCTGAGGTGGGCACATGACAGCAAAGGCAAGAGAGACTGTACATCCCAGTGGATCCTGCTGCCCGGCAAGTGTGTCCCACGGGACCGGCCCACAGGCCTCAGTGGGGACTTGGTTCTACTCACCCGGTCAAAGTAGATGCGGATGGAGCCCACGTTGGTGGCACCCACAGCCGTCAGCGAGAAAAAGCCATGCTTCCAGTCCCCAGTCAGCACCACCCGCTCGTTATGGCAGAAGAGCTCCTTGATCCAGCGGGCCATGCCGGGGTTCACCGACATCAGGGAGCCTGCGGGAGGCCTAGTGAGTCCACCTGGCCTGGCCCCAGGCCACCGCCCCACACCCCACACAGCTAAAGCTGCCTGCTTCTAACACCCAGGCCATCTGGTGCCTGAGGAGTGACAAACTCCAGATCTGGAACATGGGTCCCCTCTTTGACACTGCCTCCCATCACCCCACACCTGGAAAGTGGCGCCGATGGGAAACGGTCCAGTCAGTGGGCGAGTGGAAGCAGTGGTAGTCCCCGGGGGCCAGGTAGATGACACAGTGGTACAGCTCGTTCCCCTCCCTGGTGACCAGCCTGCTCCTGAAGGAGGTGGCTACAAGCAGACATGGGTAGGAAGACATCAGAGGGGCACAATCTCATACAGGCCCCATCTGCACACAGGCTCCACGCAGGAGCCCCAGGGCTTCCATGGAACAGTCCCTGACCTGGTTCCAGGCCTCCCCTCCCTCAGCTCCCGCCCCACCCTGGCTCAGCTCCGCCAGAGGACGACCCACCTGGTGGGAAGGGCAGGTCCTCCGCAGAGGTGCGAGGGCCAAGGAAGGACTCCAGGGAGTACGTGACCCCCTTCACCTGCTCCACCTCGCAGTTCTTCACCTGCCCAAAGTTGAGGATCTTCCCATCCGATGGGCTGATCTGGACAGAACAGGACAGGCTGACTGGTACCCCAAGCTCAGCCATCCACTTGCCCTGCAAAGCCTCCCCAGGGAGCTGCCCCCAGCCCCTTAAAGCTTCCCGACACCCCCGCGGAGTTGTCTCCCCTGTTCACAAGGCCTCCCCTAAGGGCGCTGGCCACCAGCCCCTCAAAGCCTCCGAAGAAGCTGCCTGCAAAGGCCTCGGGAGCTGCCCACCAGCCCTCCGCTGGGGGAGCTGCCCGCCCGGCCTCCCCTGGGGGAACTCAAGGCCACCCTGGGAGTTGCCTGCCTGTCCAGCCCTAGGAGCCGCTGAACGCTCACCACGCTGTGCAGGCCGCACACGGGCCGAGCCTGCGGCTTGAGCTTGCGCCGGAAGAACTCGCTGAGGTTGCGGTAGTGGTGCAGGTCCTCCACAGCCGCCTCCTTCATGTTCACCCCGAATGTCCAGATGTACAGGCTGTAGACTGGCCGGCGCAGCCAGTGCGGCAGCTCCACCTGGTTGAGGCGGCCCCACGCCCGCGACAGCAAGCGGGTGGGCACAGACTTGTACAGGGTCACCTGCAGGCCACAGGGCAGGGGAAGGAAGTCAGTGCTGGCCCCCAGGCATGCCCCCAGGTGTGCCACCCCCAAAGGAGAGAGCTTGGCAATCACCAGGCCACAAAGGAGACCCAAGCTGACTTTGTGATGTGGCTGGCTGTCACTGGGAACCAGACTGAGGGTGCTAGGCACATGGGGGTTCGCTGAGACAGTGACGCACTTACACTCAGGGGGGACCTGGTGTTCGCTCAGACAAAGGTCAGATAGCGCCTCCACCCTCCAGGGTGTGAGGCTGAGGAGGTGCAGACAAACCCGGACAGGGCTCCTCGCCCTAGACAGGCCGCAGGCGACCCCACCACCCACATGACCTCACTGGTATCTCTGGCTCTGGTGCAGAGATGGTCTCCTTGGACCCCACAAAGCCCACCTGCACTGCGGGCTCATGCAGGACAGGGGAGATCTGCCTCTGACACCTCGGATGCTCCTGCCACACAGATGCCTCCTGGACCAGCCACTGCTTGTCCGCACACAACCAAGGCTCCAGCTCCTCATTCCAACTTCAGACCCCTCTGTGAACTAGGGGTGGTTCCCAGAGAGCTGCTCCTGTCCCTCAGCTGCCACCCACCCACCTGGCATGGTCACAACTCCCCTGAGGTCCCTCTGGCTAAGTGGGTCTCATCTCTAATGTCCCTTCACACCTGAGCTGTCAGCTATTGTGACATCAAGAGTCCAGGAGCAGGCTTCCTCCTAAGGCCACCAACAGGAGTCACCTCAGAAAGCCCACTCCCCACCTAAGGGAACCCTACCTAGGGGAGTCCCTCCTGAGGAGCCCAGCGGCCCAGCTTCCTGAGCTGTCCAAACTGCTTAGAATCACCTCCTATGACTCCTGCTGGGCACGGGACCTGGGCACAGACCTCGCTGTCCGGGTACCTAGTATGCATGCTTCAGAACCCAGAGTCCCGAAACGGCACAGAGCTGCCCAGAGCCGAGGCAGGGAGGGGCCTGTGAGCACCACAAGGTCAGAGGGAGCAGCCCAGTGGGCCAGGCCCACCAACCACCCAGCCTCCTCTCCAAAGGCTGCTTAGACTTCTGGTGCGCAAGTGGGTTCAGTCCACAGCTGTCCCTCACCTCAGTCTATGGCTGTCCCCCACACCTCCATCCACATTTGTCCCCAACACCTCTGTCCATGGCTGTCCTACACCACTCCATGGTTGGCTGTCCCCTATACCTTTGTCCACAGCTGTCCTCCACCTCTCACTTTGCCTAATCTCATCCTCCTTGGATCCCTCAGACCCCACCTCATGAGCACTTACCCTGCTCACGGGCCTCCATCCCACCCGGCTGAGCGGTCTGAGGGCTCCGAAGGGCAGGAGGTAGTAGAGGACCGTCAGGGGCCAGGAGCGCAGTTTCAGGGCAGGTCTGGACATACAGCTCAACTGTCCCAGCCTCCGCCTCAGGGCCAGCTGGGGGAAATGCAACCTGCGGGACACGCAGGCACAGGCCCGTCAGCGCCACTCCAGGCTGGGAGCCCCGAGGTCCCCGTCCACTCACAGCAAACCCCGCTCTGATGAAGTGGGGGGTCTGGAGGCACTGATGCCCTTGGGTCTCAGCCCCACCTGCGCTTTGGCTGGCCTGTTCCTGCCCAGCAACCCCATAGCCCAGTGTCTCCTGTGATCTGGTGCAGGTAGAACAGCTGGGGTACAGTGTGGGGAGCCCTGATGCACCCCGGCACCAGGGCAGATGGAGGAGCCAGAGCCTGGCCTGAGGAGCGCCGGCCCCAGTGACGTGCAGCTGTTTGCAGGGCCCAGAAGGATGTCTCCTCAGGGCTCCTCATTTCCGCGTCTCTAAACAAGGGACCAGGACAGATGACACGGTCCTGACAGTGGAGCTCCTGTGCCCACCCTGCAACCCCATTAAAGCCGCTGCCCCACGACCACCAGCGCGGCCAGGGTCTTCCGCACACGCTTGGCTCCAAACGCCAAACAATGAGGTCCGACTGCACAATGAGCCGTGAGGCCACTCAGCCACCCACTGTCAGGTGACCCCAGGCTGGGCTTCCTCATCTGCAGAAGGACTGCATGGAGCCAAGGCCAGCCTGTGACGCACTGCTCACTGTGAAGGCAGCCTCCCCTGTGCGACACACCGCAAAACAGTCCCCGAGAAATGGAGGCCTCGGCCGGCGCCGGGTCCACGGACCCCCACCCCCTGCCCTTCCAGCTCATCTCACCCAGCGCCCCCGGGCTCGTCGGGGTGCGGGAGCTGCCGGGCAGGGCCTCGGCCGGGGTGCAGGTACCTGAAGCGGGCTCGTCGGCTCAGCCCCGCCGGGCCGGGCCCCTCGAGACGCGGGGGCTGGTCCCCGGGCGTTGGGCTGGAGCCGCCGCGAGGCCGCCGCACATGCACGCGGACCCTGCGGAGGAGGTGGCGAGCGGCGCGCCTAGGCCGCGGCGGGCAGCATCTCACCATCGCGCCGCGCGCAGCTCAGGTCCTCGCCGAGCCTCTGACTGACACATCGCGGGGCGGCGCCGGCGCCTTTGTCTCTCCTCCTTCCTCCCTGCGCCCGCGCGGGGGCTCCGCCGTCACCTCGCCCAGCGAGCGCGCGCTCGGCTCACCACTGCTGCAGACAGACAGCGGGGGTCACCACCTGCTCGGCCGAGCCCCGCGGAGGCCCCGCGCACGAGCAGCTATCCCGCAGGCAGAGGAACCGGACCCGCTTCTGCTCCCGGCGGCCGCCTGGCTGGCTGGCAGCCGCCCACCCGGGACCTGACCCATTTTCCATTCGGGCTACAAGCCGGTGCCTGAGGATGAGAGGCGCGGGAAGCCGGGCGAGACGAGCTCCCTCTCGGAGTTTCCCACGCCGCCCTACTCCCGCATACCTCCCTCCAAGGGCTGGCCAGGAGAGTCAGAAATGAAGACCCAGCCGGCGCCCCCTCATCGCGGGCTCTGCTTCAGGAAAGCACTTTGGCCCAAAGCCACCCTATCTGCGCCCCGCCCCGCCCTGCTTCTCCGCCGCCCATCCGCACAGATAACCTCGGGCAGAGCAAACATGCCTGGAGTGGCTATCTGCTCTGGCCTCCAATCCCCGCTGCTCTGCTGGGGGCAGCAGCTTGCAGCCCTCCTCAGCACCCAAACCCCGTGTGGAGATCTGCTTGAGGCCTAGTAAAATCCAGCCTTGACCCCAGTCCAAGGCTCCTCTTGGCAAACCCACCTCAGTCACCAGGAGAAACCCCCAGAGCCTGCTCAGAGATGTGCTGGCTCCTTGTGTATGCAGTGGCCCCTGGGTGCCAGGGCACTAAGGCCAATCAAAGTGAGGGTGGGCACCTGGATGTCCCCCTAAATGAGAAAGTGGCCAGTCCAGACTGCTCCAGCTGTGCTCGTCTTCCCATGCAGGGGGACCCTTGATCTGGTGCACTAGTCTCCCCTCACTCAACACCCCTAAACCCCATCACTCAGGAAGGTGCTGGCACCGAGTCAGTAGATACAAGAATGCCATCCCAACTTGAGGGACAGGCCCACGAACGTCTGGCTCCTCCCCAGCCCTACAAGAAGGCCCCTTCTAACCTCGCCACCACAAGCATGTCACCCTCAGCCCACCAGCCATACCCAGAGGGCGTTCATGCTCAGAGAATAGCACCAGGGCCGGCTTGGAGGGCTGAGCACACACTGGCCTTGTGGGCTGGAGATGGGACGGAGCGCTGACACTGCGGCACCCTGTCAGAAAGGCTCACTCAGGAAGCCTCGGATAAACCCAGAATGGTCCCCATCTCGGGTCATCGAAGCAGCTCCCCATGTGAACCTATGTGTTTCAGTCTCACAAAGCGAGCAGTGCCAGTGGTCAGTCCTCCCAGCAAGTGGACATGAACCCTCCAGTTGCTCCCTGAAGGGCCAGGCTGAGGCCACCAGCCCGTGACCTGGCCAGCCCCTGTCTCCATCACTACTCTTTTTTTCCAAAATGAGCCACTGATATCAAAGAGCCAGGGTTCTTTCAGACCATTCTCCTCAGGCCAGGAAAGGTTCCTGGAGAGCAAACAAGACTTGCGCCATCTTACTCAGAGCTAGGGGACAGACATGCAGACAGAAGAGGGCCCCACTGTTTCCACATGCTGTCTTCCAAACCAGAGACACCCACCAGCCCTCCTCACCCAAGCCAGCCCAGCTCTGAGTAGGGCAGGGGACTCGAGCCCCAGATGAAGACACAGATAGAGGTGTCCTGAGTGGGGCAGTGCTAACACCTTCCCTCCCTCCAGGGAGTCAAGCACCCCAGGGTGGTGAGTTTTAGGGTGTGACTAGCAGGACTACAGAGGCAGCCATCTGTTACCCCAGAATGGGTGTGGGGTGAGGAGAGCTCTCACTGTGATCCTGGGGCCTCTGCACCCCTCAGCCCCTCACCCTGACACCTTGCCTCTTTCCAAAAAGGCAAGCCCAGGGAGGAAGGGACAGAACAGAGGGAAGAGGGGGAAGCTCTGTGGGAAGAGTCTAAATTGTGGGGAATGAGCCTAACCTGGAAGGAGGGCGCAAAGCCGGATACGACTACCTGAGGGGTCACCTATTCTGGGGGTTCACACTTCAGTAGTGCTGCAATGTCTCCATTCACCCCAACCCCTTCAGAGTGTGGTCCGAGTCCCAGATCAAGGCGGGGAAGCCCCAGGAGAAGCTGGCCCTGAACTTGATACTCGCATATGCAGCCAGAGACTGGGACTTTTCAGAGCAGAATTGTCTAGGACACCAGGAGAAACCCCAGTGCCCCCTCTGGTCCAAGGCACGCCCCCCCCCGCCCAGCACACACCCCCAGATGTTGGCCCTAGAAACCTCAGCCCGCCCCCCCCCCATCTAGCCCAAGTCCCCTGCCCACAGAAATCCAGAAGCAGCCCCCTAGGCGGGGTGTCCTCAGGCCAGAATCGGACAAACTCTCAAAGCCCTTTTGAAAACAGGGAAATAGAGTCTCCAGGGTGAGACAAGTAAGGCATCTTAGACAAGAGAGGAAGCAAGAAGAGAAGTTCACGGGCGCTGAGGTCCAGGCGGCGGGGGGGGGCGGAGGACAGGAGGCAGGGCTCAGCGTGACGCTGTCCCTCACTCTTTGAAAGGCGCCTCCGACCCCTGGCCAGCCCTCAGGCGGTGACCCGGGAGTCTGAAGCTGCTCAGAGTCCCACTGAGGCAGAGCCCCTTCCCTCTCCTCCTGGTACCCTGTGCCCCGCCCACCCCAAGGTCTCCAATAGGTGCCCCTCTGTCTGGCGGGGGGGGGGGTCCCCACGTCCCCCAGCAGCGCTGCCCAGTGAGTGCGAGGAAGTGAGCTCACCGGCTCTGGGCCTGTGCTGGGCCGGAAAAGTCCAGAAAAGTCCCCAACTTGGTTCCGACTGTCGGGGCGGCTTCCTCCAGCCCAGCCACAGTTCTGGAGAGCAGCCCGCGCCCCCAGGGGCTGAAGTCGGACCTCGGCTGCGGGGGGGACGGGAGGCAGCTCCAGGGAAGCTTCCAAATCACTGGCCGCCGTCTGGCTTCTCTGGGGTCAGCCCTTCGCCTTCCGGCGCCCCACTTCCTCTGATCCCCACGGCACGGGGCGCCGGAGCCTGGGGCCGGGGCGGGGTTGGCCCGAGGCGGCGTCACTCGTCATGGGCTGCGGGCGGGGGCGCGCTCAGTTAGGGACGCGGGGGCGCCCTCCGTTAGGCGTTAGGGACGCGGAGTTCCCCTTTAAGAGGAGGGGCTGGGCTCAGGGAGAGGGCAGGACAGGGCAGCCGGCCAGCAGACAGAGAGGGGCGGGCCTGTCCTCACCAGGCTGAGACCCCCGGGCTCCACCCAGGCCGCCTCCCACCTCTCCTCCCAGCGCACAAACTGGGCCCCAGCCCTGTCGCCACCTTTCAGCTGTAAGAGACAACGGAGGCTGTGATCCATCCTACTCCCGGGGAGCTCCAGCTGGATTTGAACTGCCAGAGCGGTGCCACCTTAGGTTAGCCCTAACAGATGATGCCACAGAACTCCTTAAAAATGAGTCATTGAAAGAAGGGCACAAACTAGTGAAAAAGAAGACACGCTCTGGGCTGAGGTCAGGGTGCCTCCTTCAGTGGCCTCACCTGTACCCACAGCACGGATTAGTGATCGGGAGAAATAAGGTGGCCTTGAACAGGGCACAGTGAGTGCCGACTCAGCTCACACAGGATCCAGCCTAGTGCCATGTGACACTTCCTCGTGGGTGCCATGCTACAAGCCGCTGTACCAGCCAGGAGGAACTGGAAGCCGCCCCACAGTCCTTCTGCCTGTGCCCACAGCAGACATCTCTAATCAATCTCTGAGCTCCAACGAGCTTCACACTACAGAGCTCCAAGGAAATACCATGTGAGATGGGATAAAGAGGAGGGGAAAGAGAGAAGACAGAACAGATAATTACCACCACCAAATTCTGAAACTAGAACTCTCCGGGTAGAGCCTACTGACTTCCCCAAAGCCTGCTGTACTTCTTGACCAGGCACCCAGGCTCCCTGACTGCCTAA